GAGAGTGAGACATGGTGAGAGAGTGAGACATGGGGAGAGAGTGAGACACGGAGAGAGTCGGACACGGGGAGAGTGAGACATGGGGAAAGAGTGAGACATGGGGAGAGAGTGAGACATGGGGAGAGAGTGAGACATGGGGAGAGAGTGAGACATGGGGAGAGAGTGAGACATGGGGAGAGAGTGAGACATGGGGAGAGAGTTAGACATGGGGAAAGTGAGACATGGGGAGAGAGAGTGAGACATGGGGAGAGAGTGAGACATGGGGAGAGAGTGGGACATGGGGAGAGTGAGACATGGGGAAAGAGTGAGACATGGGGATAGAGTGAGACATGGGGAGAGCGTGTGACATGGAGGGAGAGAGTGAGACATGGGGAGAGTGAGACATGGGGAGAGAGTGAGACATGGGGAGAGAGTGAAACATGGGGAGAGAGTGAGAAATGGGGAGAGAGTGAGACATGGGGAAAGTGAGACATGGTGAGAGAGTGTGACATGGGGAGAGAGTGAGACACGGAGAGAGTGGGACAAGGGGAGAGTGAGACATGGGGAGAGAGTGAGACATGGTGAGAGAGTGAGACATGGGGAGAGAGTGAGACACGGAGAGAGTGGGACAAGGGGAGAGTGAGACATGGGGAGAGTGAGACATGGGGAGAGAGTGAGACATGGGGAGAGAGTGAGAAATGGGGAGAGAGTGAGACATGGGGAAAGTGAGACATGGTGAGAGAGTGAGACATGGGGAGAGAGTGAGACACGGAGAGAGTGGGACAAGGGGAGAATGAGACATGGGGAGAGAGTGAGACATGGGGAGAGAGTGAGACATGGGATGAGAGATATGGGGAGAGAGAGAGACACCGAGAGAAAGAGACATGGAGAGAGAGTGAGACATGGGGAGAGAGTGAGACATGGGGAGAGAGTGAGACATGGGGAGAGAGTGAGACATGGGGAGAGAGTGAGACATGGGGAGAGAGTGAGACATGGGGAGAGAGTGAGACATGGGGAGAGAGTGAGACATGGGGAGAGCGTGTGACATGGAGAGAGAGTGAGACATGGGGAGAGAGTGAGACATGGGTAGAGAGTGAGACATGGGTAGAGAGTGAGACATGGGGAGAGAGTGAGACATGGGGAGAGAGTGAGACATGGGGAGAGAGTGAGACATGGGGAGAGTGAGACATGGTGAGAGAGTGAGACATGGGGAGAGAGTGAGACATGGGGAGAGAGTGAGACATGGGGAGAGAGTGAGACATGCGGAGAGAGTGAGACATGGGATGAGAGATATGGGGAGAGAGAGAGACACCGAGAGAAAGAGACATGGAGAAAGAGTGAGACATGGGGAGAGAGTGAGACATGGGGAGAGAGTGAGACATGGGGAGAGAGTGAGACATGGGGAGAGAGTTTGACATGGGGATAGAGTGAGACATGGGGAGAGAGTGAGACATGGAGAGACAGTGAGACATGGAGAGAGAGAGTGAGACATGGAGAGAGAGTGAGACATGGGGAGAGAGTGAGACATGGAGAGAGTGATACGGGAGAGACATGTTTTAAAATCCGAGCTTATTGCTGTCCAGCAATAAGGCACTTGCATCACCAGCAACTCACACCGTGCACAGTGTACGTACTGTACGTACAGTATACACAGTGTGCACAGTACACGCAGTGCGTATAGTACGTGCACGTGCTCCGGCAACTCTCATCCGGCCTTGGACGTGCGGTTGCTGTTGCAACCAGCGAAGAGAGAGCTGCCACGACGGGCGTGTCGGACTCACGTGTGGGAAAAAACAAACAACGGGAAGTTAAAACGTGGGTAAAAAAATCAATGAAATAAATGAAAACAATGTATTTAATTTGATTGGATTTTTTTATGTTTTTTTTTTACCCTCGTGACTTTACCGAAAAAATCAAAGAGTTTGAATCCTTGCAGTCACGGCAGCTTCTGGAGTTAAAACGTGGTCCGGCATTTCAACCGCTTTGCGCTGCTTCTCAAAACACGCTGCTCCTGTGGCCGTCTGGAACACCTGGTTCCTTCCGACGTACAAGGAGGAAGCTGCTTGGGGGGGGGGGGGGGGGGGTGTGCCGCACTTTTTTTACATAGTCTACATTGACAAACACCTCCTTAGAAAAGTGTTTCCCGCCATCGCGTTCGGTTTGTCATCCTTTCCCCCCCCCCACCACGCACGCCACCTCCGATTAGCGGCGGTTTGGCTACACGTACGTATGTACGTACGTACAGTTCCATAGAAGTTCAACGCAAAAAGGCAAAGATCCCCCGAATAGCCTTAACAGAATGTTGAGGGGCAAGCGCTGTTAGCGAGCAGCATCTATGAAGGCCGGAAGGGCACACGATGGGGTGGGTGGCCAGTACAAACACCCGGCCGCCTTTGTCTCCTCACTGGCGATGTTTACACACTGCACCAGGGTACTCGTTTGAGGCTGAGTCGACCTAGCGGCGGAGCCCCATAACCGGTTCAGATAATCGCCATCACTGGTGTTGGCCGTCAGCGGGAATCAAACTCGGGTCATAGCCAGGTTCGTAGCTCAGCGCGCTACCCGCTACACTAGCGCTCCCCCCCATCATCTAACACTGACAAATTCATCTCTTTTAGAAGTTCAACAAACGCACAGACACACACGTGCGTGCATCACGTGAAACCGAGGGCTTTCAGTGTGGAGCCTCTGTGCACCGGCTGCTGTCCCAGGGCTACAGGGGGGCAGTTGGAGGCATTCGCCCTCCAGCAACAACAACAGCGGAGGGGGGCGGAGGAGGAGCGACACTGCTCATCGCAATAAGCGGAGCGCCAAGTGCCGATAACGCTGTTGGCACAGTGGGCCGGAGCACAGGTGGTGGTTCATCCGCCAGTCATCTGAATCGGCCAACCCCACGGCACCTTAGTTTAACACGGAGGCTTTTGCTACCAATATTATCCATAACAGAGGCATTTTTTGGGTTAGATCGCGTAAATATGTCGTTAAACCCGCCACCACCCCAACCGCAACCAATCAGTAAGGTTTGCCATGCAAACATAACATGACAATTAATTACCAGTACAGCACATCGGTGTGTTAGAGAGTAAACACACAATACACAACAGCCACTGCATCTCATCTTGATAATAGGAGCACCGGGCACACTCCTTGAAAGTGACCTTTGGCTGTGGCAACACTCCAACCTATCTTGGAGTGAAGCCGGACCGTGCCGCTAAACCTCCCACGACCAATCTAGATTTGAAGTTTTCATGACTGCAGGAATCCATACCTTTGGTTCTTTCGGTAAAGTCACGTAGGTATAAAATGAAATCAATTAAATCACGGCGTTTCGAGCACAACACAAGCGTCCGTAATCAGGTGGGACAATCACAGCAAGAAACAATTGCTGAACTGGGCAAAAGGGCTGCTGCAACAAGAGGCTATATAGGAGGAGCCAGGGAGGCTATATAGGAGGAGCCAGGGAGGAGAGACGACCACCTAAAGAAGGTAGCCGGCAAGGCCGAAACCAAGGGGTCAAACGTGGTCCAGAATACTGGTAAGCACAAGCTGGTGGGGAGCAAAAAGCACCCTCGGTGCTACCACGGACATCAATGAAACCCTTGCATTGCACCCTGTAGCCGAGCTCTGTGCACCAGTATAGACCAGCAAGTAGTCACCCACTCCACTTGTTGATGTACCAACTCTGTACTCTGTGGTCGAGCTCTGTGCACCAGTATAGACCAGAGCTATTCACCCACTCCACTTGTTGATGTACCAACTCTGTATTCTGTGGTCGAGCACTGTGCACCAGTATAGACCACAAGTTGTCACCCACTCCACTTGCTGATGTACCAACTCTGTACTCTGTAGCCAAGCTCTGTGCACCAGTATAGACTGCAAGTAGTCACCCACTCAACTTGTTGATGCACCAACTCTGTACTCTGTAGCCGAGCTCTGTGCACCAGTATAGATCAGGAGTAGTCAACCACTCCACTTGTTGATGCACCAACTCTGTACTCTGTAGTCGAGCGCTGTGCACCAGTATAGACCTGAAGTAGTCACCCACTCCACTTGTTGATGTACCAACTCTGTACTCTGTAGTCGAGCACTGTGCACCAGTATAGACCACAAGTAGTCACCCACTCCACTTGTTGATGTACCAACTCTGTACTCTGTGGTCGAGCTCTGTGCACCAGTATAGACCACAAGTAGTCACCCACTCCACTTGTTTATGTACCAACTCTGTACTCTGTAGTCGAGCACTGTGCACCAGTATAGACCACAAGTAGTCACCCACTCCACTTGTTGATGTACCAACTCTGTACTCTGTAGTCGAGCGCTGTGCACCAGTATAGACCAGGAGTAGTCACCCACTCCACTTGTTGATGTACCAACTCTGTACTCTGTAGCCGAGCTCTGTGCACCAGTATAGACCACAAGTAGTCACCCACTCCACTTGTTGATGTACCAACTCTGTACTCTGTAGTCGAGCGCTGTGCACCAGTATAGACCAGAAGTTGTCACCCACTCCACTTGCTGATGTACCAACTCTGTACTCTGTAGCCAAGCTCTGTGCACCAGTATACACTGCAAGTAGTCACCCACTCAACTTGTTGATGCACCAACTCTGTACTCTGTAGCCAAGCTCTGTGCACCAGTATAGACCAGGAGTAGTCAACCACTCCACTTGTTGATGTACCAACTCTGCACTCTGTAGCCGAGCACTGTGCACCAGTATAGACCTGAAGTTGTCACCCACTCCACTTGTGTCGATGTCCAACGGAAAAAACTGCAATGCGGCAGCGTGTCACTGGGACCCTTCAAGTCGACCCAAGCGCACCTGGCGGCCCATGCTGTTACCGCGTCTCTCTTCCACCAGCCTCGTGGCAACTGCCGGGTCTGTCCCTTGACCCCCCCCTCCCGCCAGCAAAGAACCCTCGACGCTTCACGTGGCTCTTAGGCACAAGCGACGTGGTGACGTCGCCACCGCTTGGTGGAAAATGTCGCTTTGTTGTTTTTTTTTCTGTTGTGCATCTCCACAGTCACGGAGATGTTGGTGAACGTGTTGAATATCTGCTCGGACCACGAGCTGGAGGCAGAGGGAGATGAGATTGACGGTGAGAATCATCAGCAGCAGCAGCCACATCACCATCATTACCAGCACTAACATCGAAATCAGCCCCAACAGAATCGGGATCAGCATCAGTATCAGCAGCATCACTATGACCAGCGTCACCATCAGCAGCAGCAGCATCATCATCATCTTTGCCTATGTCACTGTCATCTCAACCACATCTACATTATAATCAGCAGCATGATGATCCTCATCATCGGCATCGTCTGCAGCAGCTACAGCCACTATCCCCCTCCCCCGCCTCTGTCAGCCCTTGCCCCCTGGCGTGAGTGAGCTACTATGGGACAGCTCTACCTGTGCCTGTGTGATCACCAATGTCTCTTGCAGATCCGGGTGTTTATGGCCAAAAGAGAGGTACAGACAGTGGCTCTGCTCTGCCTCCTCTGAGTGTCTCCTCCTCTGTCTCTCCTCTGTCTCTCCTCTGTCTCTCCTCTCTCTCCTCTGTCTCCCCTCTGTCTCCCCTCTGTCTCCCCTCTGTCTCCCCTCTGTCTCCCCTCTGAGTCTCTCCCCTCTGTCTCTCCTCTGTCTCCCCTCTGTCTCTCCTCTGTCTCCCCTCTGTCTCTCCTCTGTCTCCCCTCTGAGTCTCCCCTCTGAGTCTCTCCCCTCTGAGTCTCTCCCCTCTGTCTCCCCTCTGTCTCTCCTCTGTCTCTCCTCTGTCTCTCCCCTCTGAGTCTCCCCTCTGAGTCTCTCTCCTCTGAGTCTCTCCCCTCTGAGTCTCTCCCCTCTGAGTCTCCTCTCTGAGTCTCCTCTCTGAGTCTCCCCTCTGAGTCTCCCCTCTGAGTCTCCCCTCTGAGTCTCTCCTCTGAGTCTCCCCTCTGAGTCTCCCCTCTGAGTCTCTCCTCTGAGTCTCCCCTCTGAGTCTCTCCTCTGAGTCTCTCCCCTCTGAGTCTCTCTCCTCTGAGTCTCTCCCCTCTGAGTCTCTCCCCTCTGAGTCTCCCCTCTGAGTCTCCCCTCTGAGTCTCCCCCCTGAGTCTCTCCTCTTGAGTGTCTCCCCTCTGAGTCTCTCCCCTCTGAGTCTCTCCCCTCTGAGTCTCTCCCCTCTGTCTCCCCTCTGTCTCTCCTCTGTCTCTCCTCTGTCTCTCCCCCCTGAGTCTCCCCTCTGAGTCTCTCTCCTCTGAGTCTCTCCTCTCTGAGTCTCTCCCCTCTGAGTCTCCTCTCTGAGTCTCCCCTCTGAGTCTCCCCTCTGAGTCTCCCCTCTGAGTCTCTCCTCTGAGTCTCCCCTCTGAGTCTCTCCTCTGAGTCTCTCCCCTCTGAGTCTCTCCCGTCTGAGTCTCTCCCCTCTGAGTCTCCCCTCTGAGTCTCCCCTCTGAGTCTCCCCCCTGAGTCTCTCCTCTTGAGTGTCTCCCCTCTGAGTCTCTCCCCTCTGAGTCTCTCCCCTCTAAGTCTCTCCCCTCTGAGTCTCCCCTCTGAGTCTCCCCTCTGAGTCTCCCCCCTGAGTCTCTCCTCTTGAGTCTCTCCCCTGAGTGTCTCCTCTTGAGTGTCTCCCCTGAGTGTCTCCTCTTGAGTGTCTCCCCTGCCTGTCTTCCCTGCCTGTCTCTGCCGTGCTGCCTGCCTAATCTAACCCCGAGACTCGAGATCTAAAGCAGGAACCGAACTCTGCGACCAATGTGAGAGTGGTTGTGTGAGGGAGCCGGGTGAGTCGGTGGATCAGTGAGATGGCGAGTAAGTTGGTGGGTGAGTAGGTGAGTGGGTGAGTAGGTATGTGGATGAGTGGTTGTGTGAGTGAGCGGGTGAGTCGGTGGGTCAGTGAGATCGCGAGTGAGTTGGTGGGTGAGTAGGTGAGTGGATGAGTGGTTGGGTGTGGGTGGGTCCGGGTGAGTGGGTGAGCAGGTCAGTGGGTGAGTAGGTGAGAGACCCGAGTTTATTTCCCCCCTCATGTCCACCAACACCAGAGACGATTATCTGAACCGGTCCTGGGCCTCCCCTAGGTCGACTCAGCCGCAAATGATTACCTTTTGTGGTGTGTAGTAAACATCGCCACTAGGGGAGACAAAGGCGGCCGGGCATGGTGCTGGCCACCCCCACCCCCTTGTGTGCCGTGCCGGTCTTCATAGGTGCTGCTCGCTAACAGCATTTGCCCCAACAGCCTTTGTGGGCTACCTGAGGCAGCTTTGCCCGTGTGTGCGGTGGAGATGCAGTGTCTAACGCTCGTGCAGTGGAGGTAACAGAGACATCGATCACGACTCCAGCTCACTCCTTGTCTTTCTCCTCCCCCCGTGTTCCCACGTCTCCCTTTGTCTCCTCCGTGTGCCTCCTATTGTCTCGCCGGGTCTTCTCCGTGTCTCCCCATGTCTCCCCATGTCTCTTTGTGTTTCCTCCATCTTCTCCGTCTCCCCCGTGTCTCCCCCGTGCCTCCCCGTGTCTCTTTGTGTTTCCTCCATCTTCTCCGTGTCTCCTCGTGTCTCCTCCGTCGCCCTGTCTCCCCGTGTCTCTTCCGTGTCTCCCCATGTCTCCACCTGTCTCCCCCTGTCTTCCGATGTCTCTTCGTGTTTCCTCCATCTTCTCCGTGTCTCCCTGTGTCTCCCCGTGTCTCTTCGTTTCTTCCCAAGTCTCCTCTGTGTTTCTTTGTGTCTCCCACTGTCTCCTCCATCTCCCCTTATCTCCCCGCATTTCCCCGTGTATCCTCTGTCTCCTCCATGTCTCCCCGTGTCTCCTCCGAGTCTCCTCTGTGTCTCCTCCGTGTCTCCCCGTGTCTCCTCCCTGTCTCCTCCGTTTCTCCCCGTGTCTCTTTGTGTCTCCCACTGTCTCCTCCATCTCCCCTTATCTCCCCGCATTTCCCCGTGTATCCTCTGTCTCCGTGTCTCCCCGTGTCTCCTCCGTGACTCCTCCATGTCTGCCCGTGTATCCTGTCTCTCCGTGTTTCCCCCTTTCTCGTCCGTCTCCCCGTGTTCTCCCCGCGTTTCCGTTCATCTCCCTGCATCTCTAGGGGCCTCCGCGGCTGCAAGGAAGGAAGTCATTCGCAACAAAATCCGCGCCATCGGCAAGATGGCGAAAATCTTCTCTGTGCTGAGGTGAGAGAGAGAGAGGAGGAGTTTATTGTTAAAATCCGAATTGATTGCTGCCCCAGCAGCAAAGCACTTGCATCACCAGCAACTCACACTGTGTACAGTATGTACAGTGTGTACAGTACATGCAGCATGTGCACGCGTACCGGCAACTCGCACCCACCCTACACTGTGCGTAGCCTCTGCAGAGGCCATTGTTTCCGTTGGCTAGGAGCTGTTGTGGGTCCGATTTGGACCCCCCCGACGCCTGCTGTGTGTTTGTAGTTTTCATGCCTCTTGCTTTCATCCCCGTGGTGGTAACCTCTGCCTTTTTTCTCTCTCTCTCCGCGTTCAGAATGAACATCACGCGTTTAGAGTATTTGGCTAGAAATGTCCACGCGATGATATCACCCACTTGGTTTCGTAGCTATCATTTTGTAGTCGCCAGGGTCTCTTCGGAAAAAGAGCTACACAGTCCATTCTCCGATAACGCCTGCGTGTTTGTCTAACGCGCATTGGATATCGCGTGATTGAGTGAACGACGCTACGTCGTGTGAGTAGGAATAAGCGATTTGTAATACAGCTGCCTCGGCATAGCTTCATCGCACAAGGCGTTGGGGATGCTGCTGGATGCTTCTACAGTGAGGGAAAAAAGTATTTGGTCCCCTGCTGATTTTGTGCGTTTGCCCACTGACAAAGAAATGATCAGTCTATAATTTTAATGTTAGGTTTATTTGAACAGTGAGAGACAGAATAACAACAAGAAAAAACAGAAAAACGCATGTCAAAATGTTATAAATTGATTTGCATTTTAATGAGGGAAATAAGTATTTTACTCTTAAAGGGAGTGCTCCTAATCCCAGCTTGTTACCTGTATAAAAGACACCTGTCCACAGAAGCAATCAATCTATCAGATTCCAAACTCTCCACCATGGCCAAGACCAAAGAGCTCTCCAAGGATGTCAGGTACAAGTTTGTAGACCTACACAAGGCTGGAATGGGCTACAAAACCATTGCCAAGCAGCTTGGTGAGAAGGTGACAGCAGTTGGTGCGATTATTCGCAAATGTAAGAAACACAAAACTGTCAATCTCCCTCGGCCTGGGGCTCCATGCAAGATCTCACCTCGTGGAGTTGCAATGATCATGAGAACGGTGAGGAATCGGCCCAGAACTACACGGGAGGATCTTGTCAATGATCTCAAGGCAGCTGGGACCATAGTCACCAAGAAAACAATTGGTAACACACTACGCCGTGAAGGACTGAAATCCTGCAGCGCCCGCAAGGTCCCCCTGCCCAAGAAAGCACATATACATGCCCGTCTGAAGTTTGCCAATGAACATCTGAATGATTCAGAGGACAACTGGGTGAAAGTGTTGTGGTCAGATGAGACCAAAATGGAGCTCTTTGGCATCAACTCAACTCGCCGTGTTTGGAGGAGGAGGAATGCTGCCTATGACCCCAAGAACACCATCCCCACCGTCAAACATGGAGGTGGAAACATTATGCTTTGGGGGTGTTTTTCTGCTAAGGGGACAGGACAACTTCACTGCATCAAAGGGACGATGGACGGGGCCATGTACCGTCAAATCTTGGGTGAGAACCTCCTTCCCTCAGCCAGGGCATTGAAAATGGGTCATGGATGGGTATTCCAGCATGACAATGACCCAAAACACACGGCCAAGGCAACAAAGGAGTGGCTCAAGAAGAAGCACATTAAGGTCCTGGAGTGGCCTAGCCAGTCTCCAGACCGTAATCCCATAGAAAATCTGTGGAGGGAGCTGAAGGTTCGAGTTGCCAAACGTTAGCCTCGAAACCTTAATGACTTGGAGAAGATCTGCAAAGAGGAGTGGGACAATCCCTCCTGAGATGTGTGCAAACCTGGTGGCCAACTACAAGAAACGTCTGACCTCTGTGATTGCCAACAAGGGTTTTGCCACCAAGTACTAAGTCATGTTTTGCAGAGGGGTCAAATACTTATTTCCCTCATTAAAATGCAAATCAATTTATAACATTTTTGACATGCGTTTTTCTGGATTTTGTTATTATTCTCTCTCACTGTTCAAATAAACCTACCATTAAAATTATAGACTGATCATTTCTTTGTCAGTGGGAAAACGTACAAAATCAGCAGGGGATCAAATACTTTTTTCCCTCACTGTAGATGGTACCCTACACGCACCTAGTCTTTCTTCAGCCTGAGTTAAGCATCTCACGTGTTAGCGCAGACTGTGCTTTACCCTCTTTATTATGTACTAGCTGTACTACCCGACTTCGCCCGGGACTTGGATTCACCACACCCGGCCGCCTTTGTCTCCCCAGTGGCGATGTTCACACCACACCAGTTACTCGTTTGATGTTGAGTGGACCTAGGGGAGGCCCAGGGCCGGTTCAAATAATCGTCACCGGTGGTGGCCGTGAGCGGGAATCAAACTCGTGTCGCCGGGTTCGTAGCGCGGCGCGCTAACCGCTACACTACAATGCGTTACGCTTCCACATGCGAGGGTCACGTGACAGATTTGACGTCACAGCTCAGTTGCCGTGCAAAAAAATCAATGCATTATTGAGCTCCCCCCCCCCCCTAAAAAAAGTGTATTATAATTTTTGCATGGTGTACAGTCTGGAAAGTACCCACATGGCAAATTTAAAGTTTGTTGCATGTCGGGAAGTACGCTAAACATTTTGAACAGACACACATAATCACAACTTTGCCTTTTATATATATTAAAGCGTGATATTTCCATAACCTCGGTGTTCTTCAGGAACGCAACTACTACCACGTTACAGTTGAACAGACTGCATTGCTCAGTGAGGCGTTACACGTTACACCTGGTAAAATAAAACTAGAATAGTTACAGCGCGCACGCCGGCCCTGGCCATCCTCCTCCGTCCCTATGTCCCTCCTAATGATAACGATCCATTCAGCAGCTTTTAGTGTGAGGCAGAATTGTCGAGTGGTCGCGATGCCACCGGGAATGGGTCTCTGAAGGGCGGCGGGGACTTCCGTACGTGAGGGGGGGGGGGGGGTGCGATCGTCTCACTCGGGGCGGTGGCCGCGGTCACAATTTGGGCCGCTCCCCGCGGTTCCCACTTGCGCGCGTGTGTGTGTGTGCGCGGAGAGGTGTACATGTGGCACAACATCACCACTTCCCTGGCCCTGTCCTCAAGCGGCGGTCGAGGGTCCCGTAGTTTTACCACGGAAGGGTCCGAACTCCCCGGGGACTATCACTGTCAAGCTCTCTGGGTCACTCACCGGCTCACCGGGGCCTGGGGTGTCACTTTTTTACGGAAAGTGAAACGTCCAGGCATTGTGATGAAAGTGAAATGTCTGGCTGTGGTGGTCGCTACTGGGGGGGGCAGTTCGAGGCAGTCGCCCTCCAGGGGGGGGGGGGGGGGGGGAGGGGCAAATGAAGAGCGATGCTGCTCACAGGTGGTGGATTTGCTGGTCATCTCAGTCGGTCAACCCGATGGCACCTGCTGGGTCTGTCCCATGGTCGCCACGGATCTGGGGTGGTCGCTCAGACGTTAAGACGATGGGTGAGCGGCACTAATCTGAGGAGCCAGAATGTAGGGGGGGTTGCGGGGGTTCGGGGAGGGGGGGGGGAGTAAAGCCTTAGGCATCCAATGTCCTGGTGAGCGAGGCTCTTTCTTCGCTCCACGGTGCTAGCAGAGCATCATGACGCCCTGGGGGTAGAGGTGGCCCTGAACCCCCGAGGCCTCCTGAACAACAATTGAGGAGCGCGCCCTGTGCGCAGAAGTCACCTGGCTATCGCAAATGATAGCTCAACAAAGTGGTTCATCATTGTCGTGTGGGGATCTCTAGAGCAGTGTGCGTGGTGTCAGGAGGGAAACAAATGAGGCCGCTCCTCTCGGTCAATGCCTCGTCCACCGCACACTGCGGCCATGATGTGAGTTGAGGGCAGCAGTAGGGCAAATGGACTTCTAGGTTGGTGGATAACCACGGCAGGAGCTGAGAAAACCACTACACCATAGCACCAGCACCAGGCCCACTCAGCAGAAGCCCGGGGCTTTACATGCATATGTACTTTGAACTTCTTTCGCACCGTAGGTAGCCACACGTGCCAATAGGAGGTGTGGCCAATCAAAGGCTTAGGGTGTTGGTCAATAACAAAAATTCCACCTAGAAAGATGTTAAATCAGAGTTCAGAATGGCAGAGATGGTTGAGCGAGGTAGGTAGTTGTGGCAAAAATAGCAGAGAAAGCATTAATAGGAAGATGTTCAGCAGCAGCAGCAGCCCGGCGCAGAGGAGTGGGATTAATGATGCGGAGGCCTGAGTGGGAAACCCAAAATGAAGAGGGCACAAGATGTACGAGAAAGCAAAAAATGAAAGAAAAGATGACATTGCTAAAAAGAAGAGAGTGAGTGTTGGTGGCGGTGATAGCGAAGAGAAGGTGGTAGTGGTGGTGGTTGCTGTGTAATGCAACTCTCTACCTCAGTGGTGCAGGACAGTAACGCTGTGGTGGATGTGAGTAACGCCATGGAGGGGAGGCCAATTCCAAAATCGGCTATTCCGCTCATGCCGATTGTAGCCCACCACAGCGGCTGAATGGGGGCTCTGGACGGGTCCGAGGGGCTGGTAACCCCTCCACTGTCAATGAATTACCACAAAACCGTGGGAAAAATATCTAGCTAAGTTTGCGCCGGAGGCCCCGGGGATACACAGGCGTCTATGACGTCTCCTGGCCAAACCCCATTTGGCGGAGCCAGGAGACTTAATCCTTACCCTCGGGGTTGTTCCAGAAACAGCAGAAGCGCCACTTTAGCTGGCCACGTAGAATGTTCGAATGCTCACTGCAGAGGAGAGGCTGCCACTTCTCTGTCTAGAGCTGGACTGGTACCGCCTGGATCTCTGCGGTATTTTTGAGGTCCGGTGGACTGGCTCTGGCTCGTACCACCATTGGAGGTGGACAGTCCTCTACTCGGGGCAGGAGACTGCCAAACAACAGGGTGTGGCTCTTCTGAACAAAAGAAAGAAGGGGCCGTGGGAGCTTGGCGGTGAGGTGTGGGAAGCTGTAAGTCCCATGCTACTTTGTGCTTGCCTTCCCATCAACCAGAGGCGAGGGGTAGTTGTGGTTACTTATGCCCCCACCAAAGTCGAACATCATATTGCCCAAGTGGGTCATGATGCTGGCACTTGTGCTGAAATGATTGGAAGGCATGGGCCAAATCAATGCAATAACAACGGTAGGAGGCTGCTAGAATTCTTACCAACACGCTGTTCCGGCATCGGTGCATCCACACATTATGGATGCACGCCGGGTCCTAGCAAGGACATCTGCGGGACTATATAGTGATGAAACAGCAGAAGCGGCCCCATGTCCTTGACACCAGGACCTACCATGGAGCTAATCTGCCCACTGACCATAAGCTTGTCATCTGTAAGATGCACCTGCCATTCTTCCACTCCGGTGGTGGGTGTACAACCAGGACCGCATTCAAACCCACAGTGGCCTGGTCTCAGCTAGCTGATGAAAGATGCAAGCGAAAATTATATCATCACTTGCAACTGGGGTTGGTATCGCCCCCCCCCCCCTCCTGCTGATCCCGAGGGAATATAGGTGAGGTTTAGGACTGTGGCTCATGTAGCTGCAATGGCTGCTTTGGATACATGTTCTAAGCCTCCCCAGAGACCCTGACTGACGGAGGAGGTGTTCTGAGAAAAAGCGACAGGCCCACTCACACCGTCTACAGCATCCCACGTCGGACAATGAGGAGGTTTACTTCAGCCTTGGCTCGGAGGTTCGGAGAGCCGTAAAGTGCAGCAAGAATGGGTGGTGGTCGCGGGTTGCTGACGAGATGGAGTCTGCCTCAGCAGCTCGTGATCACGAATCACTGTTTAACTGTATCAAAAATGTAACTTGCAGTAACGCACCTTTCACCGTCATTAGGGGTAAGAAAGGTTATCTGATCTCTGACCCTCAGGAACAGGTTTTGCAGCTTTGCTGAGCATTTATGTGAGATCTTCGGGGGGAGGGGATATCCCTCATCCTGGAAAACATCATGGGGCAAAATAGGTATGACCCTGCTGAGGCTGCTGTGCCTTCAATATTGGAAGAAGTCACCCCCTGTGAGTGGCTGGCTGAAGTGCCATCTGTGAAGGGAGTACGGAAGGCGATCCGGAGTCTGAGACCAGGAAAAGCGCTGGGCAGAGATGATCACAGGTGGCTGTACCGGCAGAATTTCCATCTGGTACAGATACAATGAGAGGCTGATTGACGCCAGGGTGCGGTCCAGGGAGGGCTGCTTATTGTTCAACCATGTTATGTATGCTGATGATTTGGTGATTGCTGCTCACTCAGAGAAGGAGTTGGAGGTGCTGCTGCAGAACTTGGATTGTGCCACTAAGAGGTGGGGTCTTACCATCAGCCCCACCCAAACCAAGGACCTGCCTGGGCATTTTGAGCCATCAAACACTCCACCCCCTCAACTCCCAATTTGTGATGGGGTAGAGACTGGAGAGTTTTCCATACCTGGGCAGTATGCTCATGACCAGCTCTGGTTTGACAGCAAATGTCTCACTCCGAATCAGTCAAGTGGCATTATCTTTTCATCGGCTGCGTAATGCTGTGTGGAAGCTACCTGGTCTGTTATTCCACTCAAAGCTTCGTGTCTTCTCGGCCATGGTAATTCCCTCACTTCTCTACGCTTGCGAAACGTAGAGCCCTTATCGGAACATCTTCGCCGGTTATAAATATTTAGGTTGGCCTGCCTGCGATCCATCCTGGGTTTAACCAGGCTGGATTATGTGAGGAGCTCACAAATCCTTAAAAGATCTGAACAAAGTCCCATTGGTGAGCTCCTCCGGCAGGAAAGGCTGCGTTGGCTGAGTCATGTAGCCCGCACGCCCAGCCACCGCATGCCTAAACAGCTTTTGTTTGGCTAGCTAGAGAGGCCTAAATGGGCATGGCATGGGCTAGAGATGTAATGAAGTGATGTGGTACAAGAGTATGTGGAGCTGAGTGGACTTGCCAATGACTGGTACCAGCAGTGTCAAGATCGATCTCTGTGGAGGAAGCTTGTGAAGGACGTCGTGTTGACATCACCGCGAATAGCGGATGTTGTTGGTTGCTGTGTGAGGAGGCTGCAGGACCCACCATGGAGGGTTTTAGGCCTCCTGCCTGGGAGCTGCTGCAGGGAGGAGGAAATAAGAAATGCAGACACAAAAAAAATGAAATTACTTTCTTATAATAATGATTTACATTTGTAAAGTGGAGAATTTCATCCGTAGATGTCGGTGTGCACCACGCCATGCATGGAAAGCATGGAAATAAACAGAACCTGCTGGGTGAACGTGTGTTTAGATTATTTGGCTGCTGTAAATGTCCACGTGATGATAAGCCACTTCATTGAGCTATCATTTGTGATAGCCAGGTCTCTTCTGGGAAAAAAAAATCTTAATAGCTCAGTGGGCTTTACCTGATGAAATAATAGTGGTTTAGTTTTATTTATATATTTTTTTCATTGTCTTACTTTTCCCATACTTTGCAGTCCTGTCGCGTTTTTCTGTTGTTGTTGTAACATTCTGACCCTGTGCCCCGACTGGACATCTGTGAAAAAAGAGCTTTGTAGCCCATCGGGTTCCTCCTCCAGTATAAATAAATAAATATTCAGATTCTGATAAATGGGCTAGAATTAGTGGGGAGTAAATGCCAGTTTGAAGAGGTGAGTTTTCAATGTATATAGAACGACTCTGATTGTCTCATTAGCAAAGAACAAAGCATTCTTCAGCTTGGGAACTGCACTGGCAAAAGCCCCATCACCCCAGGAAAATGAGCCTTGACCTCAGAGTCCCTCGAAGTCGGTGATCTGAAGATCTTGGGGACCTTGTTTGAGAGCTAAACAGCAGGTTCAGTTCCTGTAAATATTGTGGTGTTTAACCCATTAGAGAACCTTGTAGGTCAGCAGCAGCAGGATATTGTAGTCCACCCCGATGCTTGACTGGTAGCCAGTGCAGAGACAAGAGCGCGCGGGTGTGTGACGGTGTGTGCTCACGCTATGGAGGTGATCGCTGCCAAGTAGACGCGGAGGAGGCTGGAGCTTTTGAGACTGTCCAACTACTTGCTTACAAAGAGCGGCCTGCAGATCCGCCAACCGACTCATTATTGAGTCGTCTCTCAGATTGTTCTTTGTTCTGCGCATCAGTGAATCGGCTCATGACCCCCGTGCTATGTGGCGTGTTTTGAATGCGTCCTGCTGCACTCTCTACCACCCATAAAATCGTCAACACGGGTCTGTGCACAGTCTTGCGAAGTTCTTTGCCAATAAAATAGTGACGATCAAGATGACAGTTTATAACTCGAAGGCAATGCATTCTGCCCGTCTGCCATCTGGGTTTGATCAACTTGGAACCAATGCAAAACTCGAGACCCTGGCACCATGGTCCGTGACAAGAGGCGTCGATGTCCGCGGGACACGGCTGCCAAATAAGACATCGCCGCTCGCCTTGTAGGTCAGCAGCCGCAGTATCTTGTAGTCCACTCTGCTTGACTGGTAGCCAGTGCAGAGACAAAAGAGCGGGGGTTATGATTGTGTGTGTGTGTGCTTGCGGAATGGTGTGGCGCATAATAACTCCAGTGGCTGCATTCTGCACGAGCTGGGAGTCTGGCCAGCACCTAAACAGTGAAGAGGAGATAATTGCTACGAAGTGTTGGATTTAAGGGGGTTACGGTGAAGCTCTACAGAGGGAGAAAGATGGAGAAATTCGCCTGTGTGTCGCCCTTGTGGACGACGCGTGCTCCTGCATCAGGGGACTGCAAATGGTGCCAGCCAACTCTCAGCTGCCATTCCTCTCTCTCTCTCCCCATGTGTCTCCCTCTCTCTCCCCGTATCTCTCTCTCTAGGGAGGAGAGTGAAACAGTTCTGGCTCTCAAGGGTCTCGCGCCATCAGGAATGCTGCCCAGCGGCCTCCTGTCCGGAGACAGGGAGATGCTGCAGAACGGTGGGACACGCGGGGAGACACGGGGGAGATACAGGGACACGCAGGGACATGAGGGGCACGAGAGACACGCGGGAACACACAGGGACAGGCAAGGACACACGGAGACGCGCGGGAACTCACGGAGACATGCGGGAACTCACGGAGACACGCGGAAACTCACGGAAACACACGGGGACACAGGAGAGAACACGGAGATACGGGGACATAGGGGGACGCACTGAGAGACACACATTTAATATCTCTCTTTGTCTCCACAGCCGCCATGGAAGCTTCCGGTGGTGGAAAAGGTAACACGGCCATTGTGAATCCCACCAACACAGCCATTGTGAACCCCATTCACATGGCCGTTGTGATACCCCACCAACACGGCCATTGTGAACTCCACCAACACGGCCATTGTAAACTCTACCAACACGGCCATTGTGAACTCCACCAACACGGCCATTGTGAACCCCACCGATACGACCATTGTGAACCCCACCAACATCGCCATTGTGAACCCCACCAACACGGTCATTGTGAACCCCACAAACACAGCCATTGTGAACCCCACCAACACGGCCATTGTGAACCCCACCGACGCGGCCATTGTGAACCCCACCGACACGGCCATTGTGAACCCCACAAACACGGCCATTGTAAACTCCACCAACACGGCCATTGTGAACCCCACCAACACTTCCATTGTGAACTCCACCAACACAGCCAGTGTGAACGCCACCAACACGGCCATTGTGAACCCCACCGACGCGGCCATTGTGAACTCCACCAACACGGCCATTGTGAAATCCTCGAACAGGGCTATTGTGAACCCCACCAACACGGCCATTGTGAAACCCACCAACACGGCCATTGTGAACCCCACCGACACGGCCATTGTGAACTCCACAAACACGGCCATTGTGAACTCCACCGACACGGCCATTGTGAACCCCACCAACACGGCCATTGTGAACCCCACCAACACGGCCATTGTGAACTCCACCGACACGGCCATTGTGAACCCCACCGACACGGCCATTGTGAACCCCACCGACACGGCCATTGTGAACCCCACAAACACGGCCATTGTGAACCCCACAAACACGGCCATTGTGAACCCCACAAACACGGCCATTGTGAACTCCACAAACACGGCCATTGTGAACTCCACCAACACGGCCATTGTGAACTCCACAAACATGGCCACTGTGAATCCCACCGACATGGCCATTGTGAACCCCACCGACACGGCCATTATGAACTCCACAAACACGGCCATTGTGAACCCCACAAACATGGCCATTGTGAACTCTACTGACACAGCCATTGTGAACCCCACCAACACGGCCATTGTGAACTCCACCAACACGGCCATTGTGAACCCCACCGACACGGCCATTGTGAACCCCACCAACACGGCCATTGTAACCCCACCGACACGGCCATTGTGAACCGCACAAACACGGCCATTGTGAACCCCACCAACACGGCCATTGTGAACCGCACCGACACGGCCATTGTGAACCCCATTCACACGGCCATTGTGAACCCCACCAACACGGCCATTGTGAACTCCACCAACACGGCCATTGTGAACCCCACCGACACGGCCATTGTGAACCCCACCAACACGGCCATTGTAACCCCACCGACACGGCCATTGTGAACCACACAAACACGGCCATTGTGAACCCCACCAACACGGCCATTGTGAACCGCACCAACACGGCCATTGTGAACCCCATTCACACGGCCATTGTGAACCCCATTCACACGGCCATTGTGAACCCCACCAACACGGCCATTGTGAACTCCACCAACACGGCCATTGTGAACTCCACTGACACGGCCATTGTGAACCCCACCGACACGGCCATTGTGAACCCCACCGACACGGCCATTGTGAACCCCACCAACACGGCCATTGTGAACTCCACTGACATGGCCATTGTGAACTCCACCAACACGGCCATTGTGAACCCCACCGACACGGCCATTGTGAACCCCACCGACACGGCCATTGTGAACTCCACAAACACGGCCATTGTGAACCCCACCGACACGGCCTTTGTGAACCCCCACAAACACGGCCATTGTGAACTCCACCAACACGGCCATTGTGAACCCCACCAACACGGCCATTGTGAACCGCACCGACACGGCCATTGTGAACCCCACCAACACGGCCATTGTGAACTCCACAAACACGGCCATTGTGAACCCCACCAACACGGCCATTGTGAACTCCACCTACACGGCCATTGTGAACCACATTCACACGGCCATTGTGAACCCCATTCACAAGGCCATTGTGAACTCCACCAACACGGCCATTGTGAACCCACCAATACGGCCATTGTGAATCCCACCGACACGGCCATTGTGAACTCCACCAACACGGCCATTGTGAACCCACCAATACGGCCATTGTGAACCCCACCGACACGGCCATTGTGAACCCCACCAACACGGCCATTGTGAACTCCAAAAACACGGCCATTGTGAACCCCACCGACACGGCCTTTGTGAACCCCACAAACACGGCCATTGTGAACTCCACCAACACGGCCATTGTGAACCCCACCGACACGGCCATTGTGAACCCCACCGACACGGCCATTATGAATCCCACCGACACGGCCATTGTGAACCCCACCGACACGGCCATTGTGAACCCCACCAACACGGCCATTGTGAACCCCACCGACACGGCCATTGTGAACTCCACAAACACGGCCATTGTGAACTCCTCAAACACGGCCATTGTGAACCCCACCGACACGGCCATTGTGAACCCCACCGACACGGCCATTGTGAACTCCTCAAACACGGCCATTGTGAACCCCACCAACACGGCCATTGTGAACCCCACCAACACGGCCATTGTGAATCCCACCAACATGGCCATTGTAACCGCACCAACACGGCCATTGTGAACTCCACCAACACGGCCATTGTGAATCCCACTAACACGGCCATTGTAACCCCACCAACACGGCCATTGTGAACTCCACCAACAGGGCCATTGTAACTCCACCGACACGGCCATTGTGAATCCCACCGACTCAGCCCAGAATCCAGCGTGCAGAAGGGAGTCCTAATCGGCCGACTCTCCAGTTCAAACTTCTGTAGTTATTCACTTACTGTGCTACAATCTACTGTGGAAATGCCGACCCATACCCGACCGTGTTCATCGCTTGTTCCAATGCCTTACACGGTTTTGCTGCAGATCTGGTCAGTTCTTGTTCTGCCCTACATCCACACGATCGTGGGAAAGCGCCCTCATTTCCATACTGCTGCTGATGTCGGTTATTGAGCCTAACCCTCGACCAGGGTTCCTCAACTTTGGATTGTTCAACGCACGCTCCATAATTAACAATATGATGCTGAATTTCGATTTAAATCTTTCGTGACTGCAGGGATTCATATTATTGGTTCTTTCGGTAAAGTCACGTAGAAGGGAAATAATAAAAATAAAACAATAAAATCCTCACGACGTTTTGATTGCAACACAAGCAATCAAAACGTCGTGAGAATTGTATAGTTCTATTTTTATTGTTTTATTATTTCCCTTCTACGTGACTTTACCGAAAGAACCAAGAATATGACGCTGATTCAGGATCTGATCAACTCTTGTAGCCTTTATATTGGCAGTTACTGATACCTGGGTATATGACGACTCACCGGACGTAATTAAGCGTGAGGCCGCACCTGATGGATAGCCTATTAGTACATCGGCACCGTTGCGGGAAACCTGGCACCGGCAGCTTGCATGGTGGTGGGATCGCAGTGATTCACCATGAACACGTCGGCGTGAAAGTCCTGCACTGCTCGTTAACAATGACGTCATTCCAGCTGCTGCCTATGAAAATACGATCGCTGTCCTCTATCGACCGCCGTCTTCACCGCTGTCAGAATTATTTTCCGAGTTTTTCCAGCCTGCTAGACTTTGGGTCAATTGGCTCTCATTACATCATCTGCGGTGACCTGAACTCTGCCAAACTGATTGGTTCTTGTGGGAAAATCAAGTGCTCTCGCCAAGATTATATCTCGTCACAGTTTTACCCAGCACGTCAGTGGTGCCACATGTCGCTCAGGAAATATACCGGATCAAATCTTCACATTCGCCGATGCCGTAACTGTGACCGACATTATCGAAGACATTTGAGTGTTTCAGATCACAGTCTCGTGATGTGCAAAGTGTAATTTCCGACGATTCGCCCACTCGTCACAACAATATACAGAGACTTGAAACGACTGGGTCATGATCATTTCCGTCAGAATATCCTGTCATCAGCTTGTCTAAATCCTGCATCGACGGTCAATTAATTTGCAGCTCAATTAGAAAATGGCATCATTGCTGTTCTTGAAAAACTCGTGCCCATCCGAACAACAAGCACAAAGATAATGGTGAAAGTGTGCAGTAGCTGGATGGCACCGGAGGAGATCGCTGCGTAGCAGACACGGTGGATGCTAGTCTTTTTTAAAAGATAACTGGGTTTGTTACTGCAACTTGCTTACAAGGTTGGCCAACAGATCTGCCAACCGATTCATTGTTAAGTCTCTCGGATTAATTTAACACTTCGGCTTTCCCGACCAATATAATACAGGTGTTTTTTGTGTTAGATCGCGTAAATATAAACCCGCCACAGCCAATTAGTAAGGTTTGTCACGTAAACAGAACGTGGCCAATTAGTTAATAGGACAGCACACCGGTGTGTTGGAGAGCAAATCCACAACATTTACAATCTGAGGACGACGTTTCGTGAGGAATTGCAATCGGCATCATCAGGCGGCAGCTAGATTTGTGGATAAATAATCTTGTTTCATTCCTTAAATAGAGGGATGGATGTGATGGTGTCACTTGTGAGCCCTTGGGATAAGTGGGGGGGGGAGATTAATGAATGCATATACATTACAATGGTTAGCCATTACCAGTTGGTTATTCATATGGTAATCAACATACAGTGGTACCCCGGAGATCGAACTTAATTCGTTCCAGAAGGCCATTCGAACACCGACTTGTTCGAACACCGAATTAATTTTCCCCATAAGAGTTAATGTAAATGACATCAATTGGTTCCAGACACAATAAATCTCTCGTATAGCATTTTTACACGAAGTTTACAGTAATTACATGCATAAAATCATAGAAAAAAAACAAAAAACAATACATGGAATAAATGAATAAATGAAATAAATGAACATTGAACTTCACTTTACCTGTAGTAAGGAGAGTTGATGGCTTGAGTGGAAGATGGTGAGGAGGAGGTGGTAAAACCTTTGTCTGGGCAAGCGTCACGCACGCTGCTGGCCATACGCGTCTCAGCCGTGTACAGGTTCTTTCAAGTCGCGATTGCCCGTTGGACCTCCGAATTTCCTTCGCTTTCCGGGGCAACTTTTTTTCGGAAAATTTAGTTCGAACACCGATTTGTTCGAGTTCTGGTGTGTTCGATTTCCGAGGTTCTACTGTATATTATGCATTCCCATTATGCATGGGCATTGTCATTGTGCCTCCTGTCGTTTGTGCACTAAAAGATAAGGACCTCTTATTGTCTGCTCACAGGTTATCCCCATTGATGTATGGTGACCTGAATAGGCATGCATTTAAAAAATTTAATATTTGATGATTCGCTTCCAAGCAGCAATAAGTCTCTAGCTATCCGAACGGTTAACATTTTTATTTATCTCCATTTCGATAGATTCTCTAATTAGTCTTGGCCAGTTGTAACGGGTTTTTCACAGATCTTCAGCATTATCAAAACCAATTGAGTGTCCTTGTTGGCACGCGTGTTCTCTCCCACTACCGACAGTTGTATTTTGGTGTATCTAATATTCATTTTATTATTTTAGTCTCGTGCTGATCAATCGTCCTGTCAGCCCAACATAGCATTGCCACAAGATTAATTAATCTGGTACACACCTTCTGTTGATAGCTTTGGTAATACATCTTTAGTACCAGATATTCATCTTCTTTGGTTCTTTCGGTAAAGTCACGTAGAATGAGAATAAAATAATAAATTGATAAAATAAAATAACACAATAAAATTCTCACGACGTTTCGGCCACAACACAAGCGGCCTTCAAGTGAAGGGACGAGACTGTCTGGAGGACAGCGCTGGAGCGAACACAGCCAAGCTCAGACCGCGACCTTTAAGCTGTGTGAGAAAAAACGCAGAGCGCCTTGACAAAGGAATTAGCATAGAATTTAGCATTGAAATAGCTGAGTGATTAGCTTGTGACCGGTCACAGAAATGGCTATGTTAAAGTCAAAGCATACACATCCACAGAGGCACCCCTTGACAAAGGAATTAGCATAGAATTTAGCATGAAAATAGCTGAGTGATTAGCTTGTGACTGGTCACAGAAATGGCTATGTTAAAGTCAAAGCATACACATTCACAGAGGCACCTAGTACAAATCAAACAGGAGAATTTAGCATTGAAATAACTGAAGGATTAGCTTGTGACTGGTCATAGAAATGGCTATGTTAACGTCAAAGCCTACACATCTGAGCTATTAACAGTTACTGGGTATACACTACACTATATAATGAATACTATATAGTAAACCAATAAAAAACTAAAATATAAATTACCTCAATGTTATCAATAAACTCTATATATTCTCCAATCAGCTAAGCTACCAACAATAAGTCGTTATATATCACAATGCTATATGGCGAAAAAATGGGTGGATTCTTACCCTCAACTTTAGCACCACGGATAGCTACGAGCCCCGTTCAGATGGACGAGTTCATCCATGGTCGGATTGGAGGAGGGGGAGAGAGACAGCTGCGAGGCGCTGTTATACTACATGTTGTAAACCATACCATTAACCGTGGTGTAAGAGGTATTAAGAGTCAATGCCAGCGAAAGAGCTGTGGTCTGAAGGTCATCGTAAAATACAATTAATTAAGAACGGAAATGGTTTAAAACATCTTTCCAATGGCTACTAAGCCAGAATCCATCTTCTCGGTTGAAATTGTCTCTGTGCTTGTATATGTGAATAGCCTCATGAACGAATCTCTCATGGTTTGCAAAGAACCTCCGTCTTGGAGAAGTCAATGTCATGTGAGCCCACTGAATTATAACAGTGATCTGCCACGGCAGAGGAGTTAGTTCTACCGTGTTTCAAGTCTGCTTTATGTTCGCGGATGCGGTCCGAGATATGTCGTTTGGTTTCTCCAATGTAGCTACTACCACAGAGGCACTTTAGATTGTAAACGCCCGGGTACTGTATGTCTGGAACAGCATCTTTACAGATGGAACCAGATCAGGGATTTTATGTACTGTGTTGAATCGGACCTGGATCTTGTGTTTATTCAGGATTTTGGAGATCTTTTTAGTGACCCCTGCAATGTAGGGTAAGATGATAGTTTTGAGTGGCTCCACAAGAGGATCCTTCTTCATGACTGGAGTGATGGCTTTGCGGATTGTGTAGTCGGAGTAACCATTAGCCCTGAGAGTCTGGTGTACGTGCTTGAGTTCACTGGTAATGTGTTCCTGGTCGGAAATGCATTGGGCTCTATGGTATAGAGTCTTGATGAGGGAGTTCTTCTGGGATGGATGGTGGTGGGAATCCGGTTTCAAGTAGGCATCTGTATGGGTAGCTTTCCTGTAGACAGTGGCTCATTGAACCATCATGTCTCCTTTTAATTAAGACATCCAAAAAGGGTAGTTTGCCATCTTTTTCGACCTCCATGGTAAATCTGATGGCTGGGTGTATGGAATTGATGTGGTCGCGAAATTGGTCTCGAGCAGGCTGGCCATGTGGCCAGATGACAAAAGTGTCATCCACGTACCTCTTCCATAAGGTCGGGCGTAGAGTGGCAGTCTGGATAACGTCAGTTTCAAATTTTTCCATGAATACATTCGCTACAACCGGAAATAGGGGGGAGCCCATTGGGATGCCCTCAGTTTGTATTTTATGTAACGTGTCAATATTTGATTTGGACGTTTTGTTTTTCCAAACATCTGCCTATTTTATTAGTTACTTCCGCAATGCACGGTATCTTAACAGTTTTAATTACTTGGTCAGTTTCAAAGCTCGTGTTATTTAATTTGGTTTTGGCATTCAGTGCCCTGTTGATTTGTGGATCATTGTAACCGTTCAATTGCAGCACTTCTTTGACATGTTTAATTTCACTTCTCAGACTATCACCATTTGACACTTTCTTAGCCCGATGTATGAGCATCTTGATAAGAGAGGATTTCTGTGCAGGGTGATATTGTGACTCTTCATTCAGATAGGCGTCAGTGTGAGTTTCAGATCGTTCTATGCTCTCCTTGTCAGCGATTCTGCTCATGACCCCCCTGTGCTTTGTGGCACTCCTACCACCGGTAAAATTGTCAACCCGGATCTGTGCACAGTACTTGCGACGTTCTTCAATAAAATAGCGACGATCAAGATGGCGGTTTTTAACTTGAAGGCAACGCATTCTACCGATCTTTCATCTGAGTGTTGATCAACCTGGAACCAATGCAAAACTCGAGACCCTGGCACCATCATCGGTGGCAGAAGTGTCTATGTCCATCGCACGTCTGCCAAATAAGACATCGCCGCTCGATTACATCCACACATCAATTGTTAAATTGTGCTCGGAACGTACTTGCGCCGCTGATTGTCCACCTGACAGATATTTAATTCACCGAGGGCTGTTTCCCAGACCGGTTCAAAATGGTGCAGGTAACACCGCTCCTGAAAAAAAGTTGTCTTCAGCCATAGTGACCCCACAAACTAGTGCCCGATCTAAAACCTGAGTACGATTTCAAAGATCATGGAGCTCCTTGTGTCCAAAGCGGTTACTTCCCACATACATCAGGCAGATTCAACCTATGCAGTCGGCGTACTAGAAGTTTTTCAGCACTGAGATGCCTCTGCTAAAGATCACTGATGATCTCTACAAGAATGTGGATGACCGGTGCGCCGTATCATTGGTTGGCCTTGACCTCTCAACTGCCTTCGACACCATCGACCATGAGATACTCATCAGACGGCAGAGGTCAAGATTACGTGTATTGGGTATGGCATGGGGTGGATTGAGTCATACCTGCATGGTCAATCACAGTTCGTCAATCTAGGTGACGGACCGTCATCGCCTATGCCGTGCCTTGTTGGCGTTCCACAGGGGGTCCATCCTCGGGCCCTTCCTATTTTCAACATACGTATTTACCCATCGCCAATGCCATCTCATCGTTTGATATCAAGTTCCATCAATATGCTGATGATACACAATTGTACACTGCAGTGAAGTCAAAGATATGGAGAGCCTCAGTTACCCTGGAAGATTTCATGTGAGGGGGTGCACGTGGTGTGCATGCAAATTAATGCTGCTTAGTCCAGAAAAATCGAAGGTTCTGCTGGTTGGCATTCAGTCTCGGGCGAAAACATTTGTCGGAGAATCAGGTGTGGTGGTCACAGACTCCAGGATTCAGTTTTCTACTCGTATCTAAAGAGCCTCGGCACCATACACGACCAGAATATGTTGTTTGATCACCATGTGCAAATTATAGTCAGGTCCTGCAGTTTTCATGTTAGGGCTCTGACACATTCGACCACTATTGAGTTGTGACATTGTCAAGATGGTGGTGTGTGTAGCATCGTATATCGACAAGGCCCCATTATTGCAACTCACTACTCTATGGGACGCCTGGCAAAAGCATTGCCAAGCTGCAGCATGTACAAAATTATTTGGCACGTATCGTGACGGGTACTGCAACCCCACCGATACGGCCATTGTGAACCCAGTCTGAACTTTGGCAGAATAGATGCATACATCTCACTGTGTACCTGTGTCTTCCCCCCCACCACCGTCCCTCCCTATCTCCTCTCTCCCTCCCTCTCTCCCTCTCCTTCTCATCCACCATCCCACTCCCTCCCTCTCTCCCTCTGCCACCACAGACGCCGGGGGGGTCCCTGGCTCCGTGTCGGGGGGCGGGGGCCGTGGCTTCTGCACGAGGATCAGCTCCTTCGAGGAGGCAAAGGGCCTTGACCGGGTGAACGAGCGCATGCCACCACGCAGGGTCGGCGCGCCCCCCACCACCACCACCGCCGCCGAGTCCCCCCCAACCCCCACCGAGCCCCCCCCCACCCTGCCCAGTGTCGTTGTCGCCACGGAGACCCCTGCGGGGGGGCACGAGGAAGGGGGGGAGGAGGGGCCCCCGGCAACCACGGGGGGAGCGACGGACGTGTGAGTCTGTGGGGGGTGGGGGGAGGGAAGAGGGTGAGGTGGGGGGGGGGGAGAGAAAAAAATGGGGACAGGGTGAGGGAGGGAGAGGGACAGACACGGGAAGAAAGACACAGATGCATACAGACTTGCATAGACTCGTACAGAGACACAGACTCACAGTTACACACAGACTCACACAGAGATACACACACACATAGACCCTTAGACTGACACAGACCCATAAACTCAAACACAGAAACACAAACTCACACACAGACTCGCACAGAGACGCACAAACACAGACTCGCACATACACAGATATCCATAGACTCACACAGATGCACTGACTCACGCAAAAACACAGACTCCTATAGAGACACAGACTATCACAGAGACAGACTCACACGGAGACACGCAAACTCACCCAGGCTCGGAGACACACTCACACAGAGACACACAGACTTGCACAGACTCGCACAAAGACAGACTCACATGGAGCCACAGACTCACATGGAGACACAGACTCTCACAGAGACACAGACTCTCACAGAGACACAAACTCTCACAGAGACAAACTCTCAGACACAAACTCTCAATAGAGACACAAACTCTCAGAGACACAAACTCTCACCGAAACACAAACTCTCAATAGAGACACAAACTCACAGAGACACAGACTCTCAAAGAGACACAGACTCTCAAAGAGACACAGACTCTCACAGAGACACAAACTCTCAGAGACACAAACTCTCACAGAAACAAACTCTCACAGAGACACAAACTCTCACAGAGACACAGACTCTCACAGAGACACAGACTCTCAAAGAGACACAGACTCTCACAGAGACAGACTCACAGAAACACAGACTCTCACAGAGACACAAACACTCACAGAGACGCAGACTCTCACAGAGACCCAGACTCTCACAGAGACCCAGACTCTCAGACACACTCTCACAGAGACACAGACTCTCACAGAGACACAGACTCTCACAGAGACACAGACTCTCACAGAGACACAGACTCTCACAGAGACACAGACTCTCACAGAGACACAGACTCTCACAGAGACACAGACTCTCACAGAGACACAGACTCTCACAGAGACACAGACTCTCACAGAGACACAGACTCTCAAAGAGACACAGACTCTCACAGAGACACAGACTCTCACAGAGACACAGACTCTCAAAGAGACACAGACTCTCACAGAGACACAGACTCTCACAGAGACACAGACCCTCACAGAGACACAGACTCTCACAGAGACAGACTCTCACAGAGACACAGACTCTCACAGACACACAAACTCTCACGGAGAGACAAACTCTTACAGAGAAACAGAGACAGTTTCACAAGACTCGTACAGAGAATCGCACCAACTCTCCCATTTTCCTCTGCTAAGTTGCTACATTTAAGTTCATTAACAGCTGCTCACCGGGTGAGGGAAGTAGTGTGACGAGAAGACCTGGTGAGTAGCGAGGCTCAGGCTGATGCTAATGCTGATGGTGCTGGTGGTGGTGGGGTAAAGTGTGGGTGCTGAGTGAACGAGAAATTCACATGACAATGAAAATAAACTCTACCCTGAGAGACTGACTCCTCCTCCTGCTGCTCACCTATACACCCACACGTGACCCTCTCATTCGCCCACTCACCCACACCTCACCCTTTCATCACCAACACTCACTGACACCTCATCCGCATTCACCCACACTCGCCCACACATCATCATCATTCACCCACACTCGCCCACACATCATCATCATTCACCCACACTGACGCTTCACCCTCTCATTCACCCACTCACCCACTCACCGTCACACCCACACCTCACACACTCTCATACACGTCACACTTGCATTTACCCACACATGCTCTAACCCACTCGCCCACAACATTTGCCGTTCGCCACGAAGTGGCGGTGACATCACTATTGTGCTTGTGCCAGGCTGGATACACCTTGAGGGCACGTGAAGTGCTGAAGGCTCGCTGGCAGGTGACGGAATAGACCCAGGTGCCATGGGTTGACAGATGACTGGCAGATGCAAGTCATCTGTGCTCCCCAATGTGCCACCTCGCTGCATTTTATACGTCTGGCGCTCTGCTCTCTCTGCCCTCTGCTGTTGCTGGAGGGCGACCACCACCCAGCATTCCAGTACCCTCAACGTGCACCTTGCCTGGCACTGCCCAGTTGCGTCCTTCATGAGCCTTCTCCACAGGCCGATCTTGACACCGCCGCTACCAGTCAATGGCAAGTCTACTCAGCTCCACATCCTGCTCTACCGTATCAGTCCATCTCTTCTCCAGCCCGTGCAGTCCCCAATTTAGTCCCCTCTATCCGGTCGAACAGAAGCTGTTTGTGCGGCGGAAATGGGGGCATCAGTCTCCCCCCCCCCCTCGGATTATTCCGTGATATTCCGTCACACGGTCCCAAACGGCGCTCGCTTGGGACGGAATACGGAGACCAAGCTCGGCTGCAATGAACTAATTATTAAAGACACAACTCACGTGGTCAGGTGAGAAAACTTGCCAAGTTGGGGGGGATTCCTAATCTTAGATGGCGAGGTGAATCGGAGCACATGCGCCCTGGGTCATCTGTGCTCCCCAATGTGGATGGCGAGGTCAATCGGGTCAACAATGAAAACGAACAACAGAGGCACTGCCTCACCAGTCCACGGAGTTCCAGTCCCAGGTTATTGTGGCTCCTCGCTCTCTGGAGAACACGAGTTGCCAGGGTACGATCCAAGTAGAATAGCCCCACTGGTGCAAAGGGCATTACGCGGAAGAAAAGGCATCTTGGGTGCACCATGGCGGTGAACTGCACGCCTGGGGTGGGTCAGGGAAAGCGTGGAAGCCGCTTCGTATTCATATTGCTGGGATTCCCCGCTCCCTGTCCCACTGGATCATGATTGCAGGATAAGCAGAGTTAGCCCAATAATCCTAGGACTTAGCAACACCCAGATACTCTGGTTCGTACTCTTTGGTTCTTTCGATAAAGTCACTTAGGTATAAAATAAAGTAAATACCCACGTGACTTAACCGAAAGAACCAAAGAGCATGGATCCCTGCACTCCGGTTCGTGTTTGTCACAAGGCGAGTCGCGATCAACTTGAAACCCTTGGGTCTCGCTGAACACTGTCCTCTTGTTACTCATGTCTCACTCTTACCCGGATCACTGTCAGCTTGTGTCTCCCTGTGTCCTTGTTTGTCTCTGTGTCTCTCTATGGGGCCGTCTATAAATGACGTCACGCACCTGGGGGGGGGCAGACATTTGTGACGATGTGTGACGTGGGGGGTGGGGGGGGTTTGAGAAATGTGACGTCACAATCAAAATGCGCAACATTAAATATAGACACCACGTTCTACTTAATTAGACTTTTCAATAAATGTTTTCTACAACATCAGAGTGCAGCGCCACATTAAATACGCACTACACTGACAATAGTTTAAAGCGATTTAAAGCATGTTTTATATTTTTTTTTGGGGGGGGGGGGGGCAGAGCTTTGTGACGTCATATTTGAGGCAGGGTCTGGCTTTTTGTGACGCCATGTGACGGGGGGTGGGGGGTCAAAAATCGTCCAAAATCGCGTGACGTCATTTATGGACGGCCTCTATATGGCTTTTTCCCTGTCTTTCTCTGTGCATCTCATTGTCCCTCTGCCTCACAATGTTTCTGTCTCACTGTTTCCCTTTACCTCCGTGTCTAATCTCAGAATACGATTCTCACCATCGCAACACACCTCTGCTACATACCCGAAGACGTTCTGGTTTCATCTGGGGCCCATGTGTGGTCTGGAAGATTCTCGCACCCAAGCCTCACATGACAGACACACACACATACGAGAGACGCAGAAGCATATACAGTACTACACACAGACACAGCAAAGAGACGCAAGTATATGTAAAGTACCATCCAGATGGGACACAGGAAATTCTGTAAGCCGTGAGACAGACCGTAGCCCGTGTGTGTATGATTGTATGTGTCGCCGGTGTCGGCACGTCGAGTAGCTGCGCATAGAGCAGCTAGTTGCAGTGCAGAAGGGGGTGGTCCAGTGGTGGCCTCGTGGTGGCCACGTGGTGTGAGGGGCTTCTGTGCGTCACGTGCGACACGGGAGCGACTCGGGGATTGGACCTTGGGCCGCACGTGCACATTTGGGCCACGCCCAGACGATAGCTGTGCATATTCTTAGTTCTTTCGGTAAAGTCCGTAGAAGGGAAACAATAAATAATAAAAAAAAATATAAAATCAAATTATCACGACGGTTCGACTGCAAACACAAGCAATCAACATCAGGTGTGAAAACCACTTTTTTTTCAATTTTTCTTGCTGTGGTTTTCACACCTGATGATGATTGCTTGTGTTGCAGTCGAAACGTCGTGAGAATTTATTGTTTTATATTTTTATTATTTTATTGTTTCCCTTCTACGTGACGACTTTACCGAAAGAACCAAGAATATGAATCCCTGCAGTCACGAAAGATTAAATCGATAGCTGTGCAATTCATGTTAAGGGGCTAGCACTGAAGAGAGGTCCCTGAACGTGAATTTACATCAAAAAAGGAAGATGTGCGTGCGTATATTTGCTTGCCAGGATGCGCTCGCACAGTTTTGAAGAAAACACAAATCAAGTCACGACCCAAAGTGGCTATCAACAACGATTCGTTCACGAAGCCACCCAAATTTACATGCAAAATTTCCACCGAGAAGATGGTTATAAGTTCAGCAATCATTGGAAAGATGTCATCAACAACTTTGGGTCATGACTTGATTTGCGTTTCCTTGTCAACCTCCACCGTCAGCAGTGTGGGTGTGTGGAACGAGGTGCAATGCTCTGATTGGTGTAGACCTACTGCTGGTGTCGGTGCCTTCACCTACATTAACATTAGTTGCCCCGCCCATCTCTAAACCTTTATAAACAGCTCTCTGATTGGTGTAGACCTACTGCAGGTGTCAGAGCCCTCTACAACATTAACATTAGCTGCCCCGCCCATCTCTAAACCTTTATAAACAGCTCTCTGATTGGTGTAGAC